GCATATATGGAGCCATCCCTATGTGTTTACATTATAATGTATAATGAAGGAAAAATGAGTCTAAAAAAAGCTCCAGTTCTGGTTCTGATTTCTGTTTGTAAATCCCTTAAGTTCACCATATAGGACTGTATATAAAGGAGCATGATTTAAATTATTTTTTTAACATATATAAATCTTTGGTAGAATCCATGCCCAAAATTATAGATGAAAAATTTATTGCATGAACACAACCCAGCGGTATAAATTTTTTATTACAAATAGGACTCTGAAACTCGAATAAAATATGTCAGTTTATTATACAATATTCCCTCCCCCCAAAAAGAAAACATGATATGAATGGAAAATTTAACCTGTGCACTTCTGTGAGGTGCTGGGCTGGCTGTGGAGGAGAGGAACCCGCTTTATTTTACTGCAGAGCAGGCTCAGCATGGGCAATGGCAGCTCTGCCTTGCTCATCTGGCATCACTGGTCAATTTTTTACTCCACTACATAGGGATCACCTTTCCTGTTTCAAGGATAGATGTGTCTGCACCTGTGTTAGCTCACAGGCTGCTCAAAAGGCACAGGTTCTGCTGGGAGATGGCTCTACAGAGGTAAAAAATGATCTTGACATCTATTAATTTGGTTTGCGCAGACCAGCAGACAATGGGGTCACTGCCACCCAGTGAATCCAAAGCTGGATTCAGCATGCCCTGGGAGACAGTGTGTTTTTGGGAGTGCTCAACAAAGTGTTCCATTTCTCCCAAGTCAGGCAGCCATGGAGTGGTTTAGCCCTGGGAAGTGCCATGACATTTGAAACAGGCTTTTTTGGTGGAGGGGTGTAACAGCTCTACACCGCCTGTGTCACAGTCTACAAAAAAGAACAACATTGTCAGTCTGTTGACATTGGTCCTGTCCACAGGCCAGACTTTCCTGGGAAGGTTTTATTCTTTCCAAACAATGGAGCTCTCCCTTCCAGCGCCGCGAGCCCTGCTTCCATGCAGCCGTCGTGCAGCCCAGCTGGAGCTGTGTTCCTGCTGCAGCTGAAAAGGAAAACTGCATATTGAAAAGTCCAGACCTTCTGTCCTGGAGCTGAAGGTCCCTGCCTGCTTATGGTTCAGGATCAGGCAGACCTGGGGCTCGGGCATAACCACCTCAGTCGTGCTGGGGTGGCATATGCTTAAGGAGCAGATCCAAAGAGGAACAGAGAATAGCGATGTGGTAGGAAATGCTACTTTGAAAAACTAGTCCGTTTAGTTGATTTTTTTTTTTCCTTTATCCCTTAATCATAGTTGATTCTTGGAAGAAGAGAGTAAAATAGCTTCAATATGTTTTTTTATCCTGTTTGCCATGATTACGGTTGATACCAGATCCCCTTGAGCTTCTCTTGCCCGGTAACCTTAACTCCAGTGCACAGACTCATTCAAACTCTGGCTAACTCAGGGTTAAAAATTCCAACCACTAACTTTTCTCTAACTAAAAAAGCCCCCAAATAAAACCCATTGTGCTATTCAAGGTTAAGCTTCCTTAAACATAAAACTAGATTCCTTGGTGATTTTTTTTTTTTAATCAGCAATCTTAATAGTGGTTCCTCACTATAATATTTCCAACTCCATCTGAAATCATTTAAATCCTCCCCTTAATAACATGCACTTTATTGTAATATACAGATTCTTTGGCTTCCTACCAGCCTTAGCTTAAGGCACCAATGAAACTCATTGCCGCAGGGGGCCGTGGATTCAAGAGGGGCTCGCATCTACTGTATATTTTGTTTTGTATGTTTTCCAATGGCTCTAATTATTGCAGGTGGTAGAATTTAACTGGCAGTGTTGTTGCTAAAGAAAATAGGCATAAAGTGTATACTGTTTTGCAGAGTGGCTATCAAATATATAGAAAAGAGAAAATCAAATGAATTGTTAAACTGTTCTATAGTAAGTGATTTTATTGATTTAATGCAAATGCTTATGAAAACGATCTTCCATTTATATCAATTATGTATGGGCAAAAATTAATTTATTCCTCCGGTCACCTGTTTGGCTAACTGACTCAGCAGGACAAACATTCCCCCTCGCGTTGTAGCCGAGCCCGCAAAACACTGAACATTCAGAAAACTGGAATTCGAAAGTTTCCATGTGCAAAACAACAAAAAAGCCCCGACGGGAGTTAGTGCCAACTGCTGAAAAAGCAGAGAGCGAGCGGTGGAGGCTGAGCAAGACTCCCTCGTCCTAGGCAAGACTGTAAAACACAACGGCTCTGATTTTGCCAATCCCTTAACCATGTGGCGGCACATTTATATGTACCGGATCATCTGCGGCATCTGAATAAAATCAGGGAAGCAAAATTCTGCATATAAACATTTTGGCTAAGTGCCTTAACTCGGTCTTCTTATCTGGGGTTTCCACAAGATGCCACCTTGCATAACAATGCTGAGCATACGCTTGCCCAGTACATGTTTTCAGTAGCCTCCCGTGATCCCTACTGCAATGTGGAGTGGCGTTAATTCTACCTTGTCCTGCGTTTTACCGTGCTTCTCCATGAAGAATAGTGCTTAAAGCCTTTGTTGTTTTTTGGTGTGTGTTTTTTTTTTTTTTTTAAGAAATTAAAATTTAATTTCAGCAGAACGAGGAGGGTTACAGGAAAACAGAATTAGGGAAAATGTTATTGCAGTAGACAGGGTAATAAAAGAAGAAAGTTAAGATTCAGTGTGCAAACAAATGTCCTATGGCCAGTGGAGACTCTCTTGTGCCACTAGCCTTGGTGTTGGAAAAACAGCACTCAGCACAAACAAAAGTACTTTGTTTCCCAAAATCCAGAAGCAGCTCGGGCTGTGTGTCCTGCCCACCGGCTGCAGGGCTGCGCTGGAGCCAAGGTACCAGCGCCGAGCCCGGCTCTTGCCGCTGCCACAAAGCCCTTCCCTGGATTGTTTCAAATTTTGAAAGAAAACATGCTTTGAGTCCCATATTTTGGCAGCAACTTTTCCAAATCTAATAAATTTTTGTGAAATTCTGAGCCTACTTTAAACATAAAGCCCAAAGACTGATTGAGCCATGGCTGGCTGAAGGGAAAGAAAAACCTAAAATATAAGCAAAAGCTTAATGCCCACCCTGTAAAATTAAATCCATTGAATGTTGACTTTAAAAGTTAACTAAATATTTTACGTTCCTAATATTTTACCTTTGTTTCTACCTTTGCGGTATCAGAAATGTGAAACTTCTTGCCAAAATCAAGTGACCAGAATATAACAGCACTGCGCATGTTACCCCATAGTCTATGTGCTGGCACTGATTTGAGCTGTCAGGGAAAGATAACCCAGAAGATCAATATTTTGAAACAAAATTGCAGAAGTGAGAATATTTTTTTTTTCACTGAGCTTCACTGGAGAAATTATTAAAAATAAAACATACAAAAGAGAGGAAATGGATTCTGGACACACTGGGAAACATATCACTTTTTAGGAGAATTTCATTATTTTAAATAGAAGTACCAGGACTGAAGCTTTCTTGGCTAAATATTCTGAATGTTTATAATCTGAAATTTATCAATTTTTTTTTTGTGAGTGCTTTTTTTCCACTTACAGTTTTTAATTTATACAAGATTGTCCTCTAAGCTTCTAAATGATACCTAAAGCAGACAGTCAGCAGGTAAAAAAAAAAAATTTGAATATTTAAAATAGGCATTTTCTTTATAGTGCTCTGCGGTAATTAAAATCTTCATTTGCTTAAAAGCAAGGAACCTTTTTAAAGCAATAAATTAGCATTGCTTGACCCAAGGTCACTAGTAGTACTGCTTCTTCCAGTGCTATTAATACCTCAAAGAAAAAGAAGGGGTGGTGTTATGACTCTGTTGCAATAGAAGTAAGATTTTCAATTTAATCACAGTTAAGTGTCGTGACCTTTTGATCTTGCATTGACTTCTCACTGAAATGTGGTCAGATTTCAGACAGCTAATTCCAAACTCTGCAAAGTCAAGGTGAAGTCAGAAAATAGGTTTGTCATGATTAGGGGTGGGTTTGAGGCAGTAGCGAGTGGGTTCATTGCCTGAGTTTTGTTTCACAGCAAAAACTTTTTTATGGAATCAGTAAATTACAGAACAATTTCTAGAGAAAGAAAAAAAAATTGTATTAATTGCAAAAACAGTAATTTGAGGGATTTTTTTAAAAAAACCATTTTTTTCCCACAGGTAAAGGGACCTTTTTTTCCCCAATTCATAGCAACAGAAATAATTAAGAAGGAAAATACTATTTGACTAAAACTTCTGCTAAGAATAATTCTTGGACCAAAGAGCAATCATCTTCACATAAAGTAGAGTTAATAAAGTGTAAAAAATGCAAAAGACTCACATTTACACATACAAGTAAATATATTATTTTAGGCAAATAAATTGTGCTCGTTGGAGAGTGTTAGCTGGGAGTTTGTAGGATTATTTACACAAGCTCTAAAGCAGGTCATCCAGTATCTGATCTCATTTATCCCACTGCAGATCACCACCAACACCGTACATTTTAGGGATCCTGCAGTACTGTAACCACTGCAAAAGTATGCCAAAAAACAGCTCTTTTCTCAGTTTTGCAGATTTTGTTCCAGAAATGTGTAGCCAAAAATCTCCACGACTTTGTGGGGTTGCTTAGTTACCTTTCTATTCCTGCTTGAAGATATGTTTTGAGACTTTACTATGTGTTGGAGTAAGGCTCTGGTTTGTATACAACATAGAGGCTGCATTTTAAAAAACATGTAGGAGAGTAATTTAAACATGCCTTCTTTAAAAAGAAGGATTCTCAAAGCTTAATTTATGCTTACACACACCCCAAGCGCTCTGTGTAGCACTGTAAACAAGATTCCCTTTTTTTTTTTTTTTTTTGCTTACAAACATATTACCTGGGCACGAGACTTTTGCATTATCGTGTCCTAGTGCAACACTTCTGTCCTTAGTCTGTACTCTCAACCTTTTGAGGAAGTCTGGCGCCTCTGATCTATTTTCCACAGCAGACCCTGTAATTTTTGGCTGTATTTTATGTTTTTCAGATTCAAGTCAATCTGAAAGTCCCAGCCAGCCAAGTGAAGCTGATATTAAGGACCAGCCAGAAAATGGTAAGTTTTTACCTGCTGCTCCTGCTTTGGGATATTAAAACAGCCCATAGTTTATAAAGATTTTTTTTTCCCATGCCTAATATAAAAAGATTATTGAGAATAATTGACATGGGACAGCTATCAAGAGGTTGTACACTCTCCTCATAGTTAAAATGCTACTGATTCACTAATCTCAGTTAGCATTTGTTTTGCCAGTCCTGGAAAGAGATTTTTTTTTCCTTTAAAAATAATTTTAATTAGGGAGATGCTATTACAGAGCCTGCTGTATGCAACCCTTATTCTTATTCCTACATAGCAAAGGCTTTCAGTCCCTGGGCCATGAGTCAGGGCCTTCTTAGGGTGTGTATTTCACCACTTTTGGTTTTATCTATGTGCTTTTAACTACTTTTTGTTTATTGATGTTCTCACATGACACACTGAAGTACCTGCTCAGGCAGGTGCCACTGCAGGGCTGATACAGGTGTTACCATAGTTTGTATTTTTTCACCATAGTGCTTTAAAGGTTGTAGATACCATGAGTAAACAGGTCAGGGAGTCTCAACTATAGGTCCTTGCCCCTTCTTCTCTCCATGTTCTCAATACCATGGTTTCGGGTGGCAGCCACTTAAGCTTATTTGGAAGCAGCAGCAGGACTATGACTTTGAGGAACACTCATGTTCTTTTGGACTGGGACAGTTTTAAAGTAGAAGCAATAGCTTCTACTGAGCCAATTACTTGCTTTGTAAAGCAGCCTGAGAAAAAAATCATTCAATAATAGTAAATTTCTGTAGGGACTGTATGTGAAAGGATAAATATGTGTGTAATGGAACAGCTTCTCTTCCTTTTTGTGTTTAACTAAGGTAGACCTCAACGATTTTTGTTGGCCCATGGGCAACTGAGTTTTGTTTTACTACTTATATTTAGGGCTTAGAATGTCTCCCAAAGTGAAAGTCAGTAGTAGTAGTAGTTTTTCTTGACTTTTCTTATCCATAACCGGGCTTTTTTTTGGTAAGACCTTAATGTAGATTGGGGGATCCACTGTACCAGGGTCTACTCTGCATTTACAGAAAAGAATTTGTGTGAGGGTTTATGCCTCTGAACCCTATCACAATTTTTGGAATGTGCAAATTCATGCAGAAATATTGTATCTATAATAATACAGCTGTGATTTCCCTTTAACAGAGCAACAAACTGCTTTTGCCTTAAATCCCTTCATCTGTATATGAGTTCTCTGTGTGTTTTGGGGGCTTCATTAGCAACTAAACAAGGGAGAGTGAAGCTGAAGGGCTGCATTTATATCCAGACTGCTTTTGGATTAGGGTTTCAACAGGAGATAAAATTAAGGGGAGAAGAAGAGGTTTAGGTACATAAAAACCTTTAAATTAACAGCATGTATCATAGGACATAGAACATAGAGCTCATTGGCCTGGTAAGATTTTGGCTTTCGGGGTTCTTGTATTTTCCTCCCATTAAATATGAAAGGTTTCATATTTTGATAGATTTTGTGCTGTTGATCTCTAAACATACCATCTTAAAACATTGCTGTTGTTTCTGAAAGACAGTGCCTAATTTCCCTTATCAATCCTTTTCACAGAAATTCTAATTTGTAGCCAAAGGATTGCAAGGTTAAGAGAAGAACTGACTAAACTGTGATTTTTGTTCTGCCAATTCTGCGATTTTTTTTTAATGGGGAATATGTTGCCTGTGTTTATTAAATCATATTGTAATTTAGAATATATTAGGCACCAAGCATGTTATTATTTTGTGTTTAAAGAATATTCTTTCACAGCTATTAAAGCTCAGTTCTTCTTACCCTGCAGTTTCTTAGTCTTAACGATGACTGTTACTCAACAACTGCCCCGAAAAGCAGTAATGTCGGTGTTTAATAATGTAAAATCTGTAAGAGCCTAGTGAAATGAAATATCTCTGATTTGGAGCCTGAGTCTTCTTTGTAAAACAATCTTTTAGTGAATTCTTGGAACTTTGTTGGTGAGCTGCAAAAGGTACTTTTTTTTTTCTTTTTTTTTTTTTTTAGTAAACAGGAAAAGGTTTTTTCTTTTTTTCTCAGTTTTACTAAAGGGTATTTTTTCCCTGCCACAGCAGCAGCCTCCTCACTGATTACGCACCTTTTGCACTGCCTGTGTGGGAGATTTTCTGTACCAGTGTGTTGGCCCTAAAGGAGTTGTTCCCCCCGGGTAGACACTGAGCTCATTCTCAGCACACACAAGCCCCCAGCTCGAGGGTACCCAGCGTGTAGATCAACACAGATCTGCAGCTCTTATCTCCTGAACGTGAGGATGAAAGCAAAACTGCAGGCTTTAGAAAATGAAAAACTGCACGCACAGAAACGGACACAATAAATCATATTAACTGCGTTGTTCTACACTTGCTGTAGACCCACTTCCACAGGGCCTGATCCAAATCCCTCTGGAGTCAATGGGAGGCTCGTAATTGATTTTACTGAGAGTAAGAATGAGCCCACACAGAGAGGAATGTTTTATTTTTTTTTAAATCAAAGAAAAATAGTATCGTGAATAATCTTATTCCCACTGATGCCAACAGTGGAATGACCAGATTGGGGGCAGATTTGGAAGCATTTTGCATGTGTTTCTGGAAAGCACAAAGAAGTGTATCAATTCAGTACTACCTTTTCCATGCATGCATTCCTTCATTTTAAAAAAATAAATCTTTAAAGGCCTTGTGAGGGTTATACAGCCTCTCTATTTGCCTGTTAATATCCTTTCTGTTCCACTCCATAAATTCTAGAGCTATTTATTATACACATATATTTTGCATACCTTGAGTAATGTAGGTTCAAAAGGGTCAACTATACAGCCCTGAAAAAGAAGGCCTCCTACTACAAATTTTAATTTATCATTCTAAATTGTATGTGTTGTTTTGGAAAGCCTGTATACCTAACCTTCATTAAAGTGAAGTTCATGGGAAAAAAAAACTCTTCTTTTTTAAAGCCACTCCTTTTTTTTTTTTCTACTGGGCTTTACAGTTACGTTTTCTGGAGCAGAATCATCACCGGCAGAGAAGATGGTGACATTTTCTGTTCTCAGTGGTGGCTTCAGCACCAATTCTTGCCTTTCCTTCAGCTTTCATTAAGCCAGAATAGTTTTCAGGCAGTCACTTACCTGATCACTAATGCAAAAATTTACAGAAATATGAACATTTAATTATTTCCTAGAGAGAGAGAGACACCTAGGCTGATGGTCATGAAAGGCAAACATGCAGGCGAGACTGGGCTCATTGGTGCATGCATGGTCCAAGGTCCAGATGCTTTGTCCGGGAACTGGGGGTAAAACTAACACATATCCACAGGGTGTGCACAGTGCCGCTCCCTTAGCATGGGAAAGAACTTTTTGGGGAGAGGCAAAAACCCCAGAATTTCTCTGTTTGTTATATGGGTGACTGGATTTTCAGGGGGAATGTTGAAAGAGGCCAGCAGCTTCATCTGAAAGGCAGGAGCATGTTCTGATGCCCTGATATTTTGCTCAAATGAGGTTTTTTTCTGGCCAGTTGGGTGGAACACCCATGTGGAAAATTCCCCACTTTTGTAGTTGCCTAATGGTATGTAAAAGCTTCATTTCAGTTGGCACTGCTAAGTGATTTTGCAATTCACCCAATCAAAAAAAAAAAAAAAAGGTTATTGATTTTAAAAACTTGTTAAATGCACTGGTTTGGTGTTGTATTTTATAAACAAACTAGTTTTTCAGTGAAGTGAGGATGACAAAATGGGTAGTCTGATGTAGTGAAGTGACTGCATGCCTGTGGATCAGGAACAACTGAATTCCCAGCTCAGCACTGCTGTGGACTCTCTCTCAGGCTTTTATTCTCGCTTTCAGTTGTGGAAACAGCTATCAGATAGATTTTCTTTTTGCAAGTAGGATTATTTTAAACTTTTGTAGGAAAACCTTTTGCTCTTTTTGTCTGCAAAGTGAGGATATTTGTGACTCTAGCTTTCAGAGAGTATTAGAAGTCAAATCCTGCTCTGGTCCAGCAGGACTTTAACTCTGGAGAAAGGCAGGGAGGATGTAGCACAGAGTGGTTAATAACTGTGGGACAGAACTGTGCTGCCGCTGTCAGTAAATGGATGTCAGGCATTCACACGGTGATGTTTGTGTTTGATGCGGTAGCACTGGTGAATTAATAACTGCAGCGTAAAGGTGCACACTGAGTGTGCTGTGAAAGCAGGAGAATGCTGTGTCATTTTCGACAGGCTACTGATGGCTCTCGAGCAGGTGGGATTGTGATTTGGTAACTCAGAGTTGGTAGCACAGCACTTCAATTGTAGATTAGCAAGTTCTTTTTAAAGAAGTCGGTAAATTCTCCCATCTCAAGTGAGCGAGGCAGCATTCATTATTACAGCTGATTGCAAAAGAGTGCCAAATCCATTGCTCAAACAATTTCTGGAGAGAGAGAGAGGCATTTTTCTAAAAAATAAAAATGTTTAATGCCCAAACCAAATGCTTTTTAGCTTTAATGTATTCTCGCTGCTTTGAGCTGCAAGTACCTTAACAGCACTGCAGGAAATGAAAGGCACATTGTTCTTTGTAACATTTAAAAAAAAAAAAAAAAAAAAAAAAAAAAAAAA